AGGATATTAAATTTAAATCTTTAAATTGTCATTCTATAGCTCAATACCAAGCACTGCAAGAGGAGCTACGGCGCAGACGCGATGAGTGCATTCAACTGAAGGCAGTGCTACAACAGCAAAGCCAGTCACTGAAGTCATTTGGAACAACTGGTATTTCACTACGTGGTGTAGATTTAAAGAACCTTAATGACAATGAATTGATTGAGGCATTCCAGGCACAAAAGCTGGTTAATCGGTAAGCAAAAATTTATAAAAATATTATGGGTATTTATCTAAACGCTTAAATGCCTCGTAAATGCGACCTCGAAAGTAAACCAGTTTTCCATACAAAATTAAGTTAGTTTACGAGGTTTACGTGGTTTCGAGCATTTATGCGATTAGTTGAATACACCTAGTGTAAAGTTTACATTCCCTGACGCCGTTTTTACACATATTTAAATCCTTTGTAAGTCTTTTTTTCCTAATCAATCGCCTATCCTTGAATAAGTTTCCACTTTAAGCATTGGAAAACTATCAATTAAAAAATAATTGTTTGCCTATCATTATTTATATCCAGCCAACTGGAATCTGAGTTGAGCGCTCTAACCGAAGAGAATAACGCACATCTTGCTGATCTTACACGACAAATTGATGAGCTTCGCCACGAAAAGACACAATTACAGGATCTGCTGCACAATGAACTCGAAGAACTTGATGAGAGTAATATTGAATCTCTACGCCAGAATGAACGCTATCTACGTTATGAGCTGCAGCGTTCTTTTGCACAATACTCACAGCTACAGGTGAGCAAAAACTGTCTTTAAGTTTAGTGTAGCGTTTATTTTAACCTTATTCCCTTCATTACTCAGGAGGAAATGAATATTATGACAAGGAAATTTGAAGCGCTAAAACAGGGTAATGAGAAATTGATATTCAAGCTACAAGAACATGGAATTTCGCAAGATGCAAATGGCAATGAGAGCGAAAAGAAGACTGTGGCGGGTGTGAGCAAGCAAAAGATTCAAAACTACCAGGGTAAGCGTAAACCAAACATTTGTAATAAATTTAAGCTACATTGTATTTGTATTTGTATTTTTAAAGGTGTTATGAAGTTCCGCATTGAGGATGTTGATAAGATACTGCAACGTCTGGTTGGCGGTATGACACCACGTTTGGCTGTTGGCCTCTTTCCGGGCTTTCCTGCTTATATAATATTCATGTGCATTCGGTAAGAGCATAGTATAGTTTGTAATGTTAATATAATATTGAACATTTTATAATTACATTTAACTTCATTCCCCCAAAAGTTATACAGATCTTATAAATGCGGATGACGATGTTCGTGAGCTGCTGAGCAAATTTGTAATGCAAATCAAAAAAATTCATCGCAATCCTAATGTGATCGAAATGCGTTTGCTTTGGCTGGTTAATTCAATCACGTATGTTGAAACTAAAAATGAATATTGCAGATTATTTAATGTCCATCCACTTTATTTCTCATTCTCTAGGCTGCTGAATTTGCTGAAACAATATGGTGATGTTGAAGAATACGTGAAATTCAATACGGAAAAACAAAATCAACAACAATTAAAGAATTTTAATTTGTATGAGTATCGCCGCGTTGTACTCGACATAATCATCAGTCTCTATCAGGTGTTGGTGAAGCAGATACAGACATTGCTCGAGCAATATATAGTGCCTGCCATACTCGATAATGACGAGATCCAGCGTAGCAGGCAGGTGCCGGGTATGCGCGCTCGTACTGCCTCCATGGATTCGACGTCATCACCCGAGCATGGCAAAGTAGCTGCTTGGAGGCTGCTCATCAATCACCTGGAACAATTTTATAAGCAATTCCAACATTTCGGCTTAGATCGTTGTTACTCAGAGCAGATATTCCATCAATTATTATACTTCATTTGCGCGGTGGCTCTGAATTGCTTGATGTTGCGAGGTGATATTTGTATGTGGGAGACGGGTATGATAATACGTTATAATTTAGGTTATATCGAGGATTGGGTGCGTAGCAAAAAAATGGTAAGTCTCTTCGGCAGTCGCTGCGTGGTTTTAAGCTTAATTTTATATATTTTACGTATAAATATTTTATTTTAGTCAACTGATGTCTTAGCGCCGTTGGCACCACTCAATCAAGTATCACAGTTGCTGCAATCGCGCAAGAGTGAACAAGATGTGCAAAGTATCTGTGATTTGTGCACATCTTTGAATACGGCGCAAGTGCTTAAGGTAAGATTTTGGTTGTCACAGGTTAAGCTCAGAATCAATTACTGATGAACTGAGTTCACGCAAAAAATTTTTAGTAGCACTTAATTAGTGTTAGAGTAGTCTGTAAGAATAATTTGTATTCCAATATTATTTTAAGGTGATGAAATCATACAAGCTGGACGACTATGAAAGTGAAATAACAAATACATTCTTGGAGAAACTCACCAAAAAGCTAAACGAGCGTCCAATGGTAATATATTCGGTTTCTTTTGTTCTCACACAAATCTAAATTTGAATTTTTTACTATACAAATTACAGATTAAAAACGACGAATTTACTATGGATCAGAAATTTATACATCCCTTCAAAGTAGTTTTCAAGTATAGTGATCTAAAATTAGAAGACATCGAATTGCCGAAACACGTAGGACTTGAAGATTTGCTAACAAAAATTTAAACAAGCCAGACACTTTTATGCGCTATGTTAAAAAAAATGCAAGCAAGCCCAATCACGCCACCCTCCGACAGAAAACAACAAACTAATATAGTGAACAGACCGCTGTTTCAAGAAAATGTTTATGACAAGTGTAATATTAAATGTTGTTGTTTTAGAAAAAAAGATAATGTACCTTGCGCAGTTTGTTGCCATCGTAAATCACATATTCATGTATTAAGAATTCGTACTTATGAAAAAAATTCCCCCATACAGCAGAGTATTGTATACTTAAAATACAGTAGCGCTAATATACAACATACATTAATATATATATATATATATATATATATGTGTGTGTGTGTGCGTTAGTATAAAAAAATGCATAGCATATATGTATCTATACTAAATTTATTAACTAAGTTATTTATACCACTTGAAAAATATTAGTTATTTGAGTTAACTTTAATTAAGCTCATGAACTAAATATTTCATTAAAAAATATGATCATACATGTGTCAAGGATATCAGATAAATATTTTAAAGTAAACCAAAATTTAGTAAAAAACAATTGTGCTTCCTTTGCCAAGCGACGCCACGTAAACTACTAAGATATGTAGCTATTCGTATTAGTTAATTTAGCCCTCGCTGAATACGATGTATATTCCTTGTATTTGTTACTATGTCTTATTGCAATTTATAATTTTTCTTTTTGTTTCATTTGGGTTGTCATCCTATTTAACTTAAAACTTGAGAACATATTAATTCGTATGGTAATGTAGTGCAGGTTCGGAGGTAACACTTTGCATAGATTAAAAATTGATAATGATGGTAAAACCACAGCAACATAGTTGCCTTATTGTTGGTAAGCGGCAGCAGCAACAACAACAACTGAGTATGTGTTAGTGAAAAATTGTACATGTGATAACAAAGAGAAATGATTATTTATACATGCCTAAACATATATTTATAGAAACAAAACATTAAATTTATAGACATATTTAGTAGATATTTATATGGTTATTGTATCGTAGTAAGAGATGTAAAATTCAACTGCCTGCCCTTAAAAGCTTAGAAAAAATATACATATGTACATGCGTATAATTATTATTTTTTTGTTTTGCGCTATTAATTTTTCAAACGTTTTTCTTAAATATTATGTACGAGTATACCTTTTTTTTTAAATGTTTATCAAGGTTCAAGGATTTTTGAAAAGTAATGTTATTCAAAAAGAATACAAACAGACAATATTACTTAAAAAAAAATAAGTATGTTCATAAAATTAAAAAAAGCAAATAGAAAGTCGTTAAAAATGTGTTAGCAAACAGTACTTGTGCTCATCAGAGCAAAAAGCATAAATCTGATTTGGGAATGATTTTTTTATTCTATGCCATTGTTTCAGGGCGATATCTTAATAAAAAGCGCCTTTTATTCGCTTCTTTATAACGGCATTGAAAGCAGAATAATATAAAATTGTAATTTTCATTTTTTCACGACAGCCGGTGTTACATTTTCGGATGAATTGATTTGAGTTTTCCGAGTAGGGTGTCCCAACGAAGGATAACACTAACTAAAAGTTGTTGTCGCTTGAACGCCTTAAGCGAAATTTATTATCCGGATACTTTTTATTTGCTAAAAATAATATCAGACACAACTTTCATCTTATAAAATATATGTGTTTACTAGTTGTTAAGTAGAAAAAATAAATATTCCATTTATTTAGAATATAATATTTAGCGCATTTTATACATACATACTTACACATACAAGTAAGTACATATACATACCAATATAACTTGCAAGTAATGTAACGCGGCTGATTTTTTTTTTACGAGGCTTCGATTCAATTTAATTGTGGTAAAATTTTACTTAAAAAAAAATAAGCTTGAAGAAGTAACCAACATAAAAATTACTTGGTCTCAGCAGAAAACTTACCGATTATTTTGTGTAAACATCGCACAATACGGGCTGAGGACTGCTAAATATTGCATCAAATAATTGAAAACCGAGAATTCAAAAGCAGTCGAGTTAGTAAAGTTATATTATGCACATTTTTCACACATGCATACATACATACATACTGCAATATGATCTTAAAAAAATTAAGCTCGGAATTTCCTACTAATTTGTTTGCCATTTAAGACTTTTTGCCACCATAAATAAATATTTATGTATGAATAACGCGTATAAATCAGTACATTCCACAAAACAAAAAAAAAATAAATGATCACGGGATATGTTTAGTTAAAACATTCCGGCATCGCCATGCAGCTACAACGATTTACAATGTTACATTTGAAATCATGCACCTAAGAAGCTATGTACTTATGTATTTCAATTAAAATAAAGGACTACATAAAAATATGTATAATTTAAAAACTTGCATTTTATTTACAATTCTTCAACAAGTTACTACAATTTTAGATAGCTTATTCTTAGGTATATCCAATGAAGATTTACGTGCGGTTATCATGCCCGTTGCAACTGTTGCGCCATTCTCTCTTATCGTAAATGCTTGTCCCGGTATTAAAACCATTTTGCGCAGTAATGTTATACGCACTTTGCCATGTTCGCCCGGCATTAGCATACCATCAGAAGGTACTGTAAAAGCAACAAAAAGTTCATAAATAATAATATATACTCAGTAATCAAATATATTCCGTTGCTTACCAATATCAATACGTGCCGGTACATTCCACGTTGCGCTAAACAATTGCTGTATATAACGCGAGAGCATTGGCTTGGTACGACCACCTTCGGCACGTGATAATAGATACATGGATGCTTCGAAGTGATTCGAAATTTTCTCAGTTTCCGCGGCGCACAAAAGCATGCCACGTTCTACGCTTGAGATTTTGACGGCACGCAATAATACCCCAACATTTTCACCTGCCACAGCCTAGAGATAATGCATAAAAGTTAGTGGTTTTCATTACTTTTCAAAACTGCCAAAATCTTACCTTCGGCACGCTCTTCTTGAATATTTGAATATCACCTATACTAGTTTTAATGTTCTGATTGAAACCTAATAAATCGGCTAAATCATTTTTCAGCATAGTTCCGCGTTTAATGGTGCCAACCACTACTGTGCCACGGCCCGCTACAGTGAAGGCATTATCAATTGGCAGTATAAATGGCGATGTGTAGTCACGCGTTGGAGTGGGCACATAACAGTCCATGTGCTGCAGTAAAGTTTCAATTGCTGGTACGCCAAATGATGAATTATCGCCTTTCAACGCCAGCAATGCAGAGCCACAGATTACTGGACTATTAATACCATCAAATCCAAAATCTGTAAGCATTTCGCGCATTTCTATTTCTACAAGCTCTAATACTTCCTTATCTACTAAATCCGCTTTGTTTATGAAAACAATAATTCTATCGATACCAACTTGTTTGGCCAATAGAAGATGCTCACGGGTTTGTGGCATTTGACCATCGGTGGCCGCAACTACCAAAATAGCGCCATCCATTTGTGAAGCCCCAGATATCATATTCTACGTATGGATACAACCATTTTATTGAAAAGTGTCGTGCTTTAATTAAAAATTGTGACAATACCAAACCTTTATGTAATCTGCATGGCCCGGGCAATCGGTGTGCGCATAGGTGCGCTCTGCAGTTGCATATCCTATGTGACAAGCATTGATTGTTATGCCGCGCGCCTTTTCCTCTGGTGCACGATCAATCTGTTCGTAGGATTGATACTGTGCTAAGCCCTTTTCTGCGAGTATCTTTGTTATAGCAGAGGTTAGTGTGGTCTTACCGTGATCGACATGGCCAATTGTGCCCACATTGCAATGACGAGTATTGTCACCTACAGGTGCGGCCACAGGGGCGCTACTAAACAATTTCCTTCGGGTATCGTGCACATTAGCGATTGATTTGGTGTTACGCTTGGAGTCACCGTGTAATAACCGAAAAGAACGCAAACTTGTCCTAGCTGCTTGAGTGAGTAATTTAAACATCCTGAGCGGCGTAATCGGCATTGGAAAGAAGTTCTCTATAAACGTATTTTTTATTTTAACTAACCATTTGAAATACTTTATTTCATTATTAAGGGTAAAAAAATAGAAACACGCAGAATTGCGAGTGTGATAACCCCAGCTGATTTTTATGTTCGAAACAGCTGATTACAGTGGCTCTTAATTGTTTGCAAATGCATTTAAAAAGCAACATTTAGCACTTTCGAACAAATTCATCAGGTTTACTTAACGTTAATTATTACGTTAAACGGGTAAACAATAATTGGAATAGGGGCCGTTGAGCTAAAAAAGTGGACGTGGACTGCCCCTTATTCTGATTTTAATGGCTTTTTTTTGTGTGCAAATTATCAGGGTTGTTGAAAACTATTGAACCGATTTTCAAAATATCGACAGAGTTGGAAAAGTGCTTAAAGGACCTTTCATTCGATATATATATATATATATATATGATGTACACATATTTCGAGAAAAAGTAAAAAAACGTAATTTGGCAATTTTTTTTATAAAAATGTATGTTTTTCGTAAAAAAAAAATGTTATTAACTTTACTAACAACCTTCATTATCAGAAATAAATTTATTTGCTCGATTTTAGGGATGAAAAAACGGCGAACTAAAGACGAACAAACGATTTATCACAGTTAACAAATGAAAATAATGAAATTCTTACACCTGGGGTTCTAAATGCAGGAACTGTAAAATGTAGAAAATTAATTATAAATGTTTTGCTTAGGAACAAGCGTTAAAAATGGACGAACAATGAAGAACAGTCGACGAACTCTCGATCGCAATAATAATTAACCCAATATAATCTGTTGCGGGCGCTAAATACAGGAATTACGTAAAGTAAAAATTTAAAAATTAATTATAAATCTTTGGCTAACGAACAAACGTTAAAAATGGACGAACATTAAAGAACAATTGACGAACTATCGATTGCAATACAAAAATCTTAATATTTATACTAATGGGATGCCAACGTCGGTTGGGTATTTTTAACGTAACGAATTTCGTATAGATAAATGTGTATTTAGGGCTAAATGTGATTTTACGCGTAAGCAAAAACAGCCCATTATATTCATAAGAAATGCTTACCTACTTACCGCAGTTAAATAAAAATCCATGCTTCCATAAATAATGAAAATTTGTAATGAAAAATTGCGCGATTTTTTATTACAAATTTTCGCCTCGGCGCTTTTTCATAAAAATCTATACTTCTATAAATTATTAAATTTTTTAATAAATAATTGCGCTATTTTAGACTGCGGCGTTTGTTTTTAAATCAATATATCGATATATAGTGAAAAAACCGTAATATGTGCGTTATTATTGTCTCCCGTCTTCAGTGTTTTTTTGGGAATTTTTTGTTATGTGTAGCCGTACCGACATTTCAGTTCAATTGGTCTAAAAGCAAAAAGTGAGGTTGAATTCGACATTTTTTGCAACTTTAAATGCAAATTTCTTAAAAGCTATAAGCCTCCGGAGGGGCGGTTTACGGATTTAGAATCAGGGGGACCCGCTCTAAACCCCCTAAGTTTTATTTTTTTCGAAAGCCTGGTTCTGTATTGGAAAATTTTCTCAATTTAACGTCGAAAAATAATTTTAGCCTGGCCATCAGCCTATTAAAAAAAAAAAAACATAAATCTAATAGCCAATTTAAATGGAAAATGGTTCTTAATTTATTTATTTTTTTCAATATCCATATGAAATTCAAAAAAATTATCACTTAAATTGCTTTCGTGAAATTAGCTGTTAGAGAATCAGGAAGGCGTAGAACTAAATAATAGCGAATAAAAGATAAAAAATGTCTCAGTAGCAGTTTTTTATTTATTGAAACACACAATACGAACTTAAAATTTACTGACCTTAGAATTATAATGTATTCATGCAATTGATTAATCTGTAGTTGAGATATTTATTTTTGCTATTCACCTTTAGGTAATAGCTTAGCTGATTAAAAATACTCCCTTTAAATACATACATATTTATTGATTTTTTGTTTGTATATCGTTGCCCCTGCTCGAATTTACTATCAAACGCAAGTATCTAAAAATTTAAGCAAATAATCGCTTCGCCTATAAGAAACATAAATGTAAATTTCCCAATTTCAATCGCGACTTCTTAAGCATTAGAAAGAGAACAATAATTCATGCCAAAGAATAATTTCTGCACTACTTCTAATTGAAAAGGATTTTCTTATCATGACGTTGATCATGGTACAATAATAACAGATATTGTCTTCCCAGAGAGCGCATATTCCGATCTACCTTATTTGAACAATATCATTATTGACCACACTAAAAGGTTTACTGCAGGGAAAAAAGGATATTCTGTACATCGTATATCGGTGTTTAAAAATTCGACATACACCCGCCTAGGATGTGATAAAAAATCAATTAACATTCAAAAAACGACTTTTAAGTTTAAGACTTTTGTTGACTCTTGACAATGCCATGCGTCCGCTTCATGTGTGAATTTAAGCCTACAAATTGGTGGAACTTCGCTTCACATAGTTTACAAGCGAATTTCTTAATTTCGGAATGTATTTGTCTATGTCGTATAAGTGAATGGCAGTTTGTAAAACCTTTGCCACAGGTTTCACATATTTTATCGCGTATATTAAGATGAGCCTTTATGTGATCTTTCAAATCGCGCTTTTTTAAGAAATCTTTGGGGCACATCGTACATTTATAAGCTCGTGTTTTCGTATGTATTGCATCTGAGTGATAGCCCAATTGGGTTTTACTGCGAAATGCTTTACCACATAACTCACATACGAAAGGCTTTTTTCCAGTGTGCGAATCAATGTGCCGTTGTAAATCCACTAGCACAGCAAATCGTCTTTCACAATAATCGCATTTATGCACTTTTCCCACATGGCTACGTTGCTCGTGCATTAATAATGTAGCTTTGAACTCAAAGGTTCGTCCACATTCAGTACATTTGTGGGGCCAATCGCCAATGTTATGCTCCTTGAAGAGATGACTCTGTCTTGTGGTCACGTTATGGAAAACTTTATCACATTCTGTGCACTTTAATTTTAAATTAGGTGGTCTATCTGGGAGGAAGTCACACTTTTTTAGATAAATCTTTGCAGCACTCGATAAATCTTTTTCGTCTAAATCCTTTTCAAGCCGACTCTTTAGCTTGAAATACCAATGACGCAAGTAATAGATGCCTTTGTAAATTTCATCTTCGGTGAGCTCCACATTTTGCTTAGTTTTGATAATATTAGACATTTCTTTATACATTTGCTTACGGACAGCGGAGTTGTTGTAATCGTCATGTTTGGGGTCGTATAGCGCTGGAAAGCCGCCATATGCTTCAATAAAAGCCTCTGTTGTAGGATTGAGTTTGGCAAAACTTATGTTCTGAAAAATAATAAAAAGAGCAAAAAATTTAAATCTAACCGAGAAGATTTTGACTATTTATGTACTGTGTTTGTATTGGGTGGCGTATCTAATACAATGGTGGCAAATTCATCCTTCGCAACAGATAAAAAGGAACATTTCTCAAAATAATCCAACACAACAGTTGGTAATTTTTTCGGCTTGGATTTTGGTTTTTTCTGCTTTGCTTGATGAGTGGCTTGATATTGCAAGTACAACTTTCGGAAGCAACTTCGCAAAGTTTGATTACTTAAGGTAATCTGGAAGCGTTTCTTCATTTCGTCTATTATTTCCGTTTGACAGTTTGCTCGTGCTGCACTATTCTTATAATGCTCATCGTCGGGATTCCATAAACATGTAGCTTTTTTGTAAAGCTCAATAAAAACCGATGTGCTAGTGTTTCGTCTATAAAATGTTGGATTAAACTGTAAATAAGAAAACATTAGCCATCTCCACGGATTTAAAGATTTTTTAAAGCTTTTAAAACACATTACTTTTTTGTTACGTATAATTTCTTTTTTATCTTCATCATCTTCTTCGGACGATTCTGAGCCTGGACTGAATTCAGCTGTATCATTGTTTTGGCTTTGATCAGCGTCTGAACTTGTATCATCATTATCTCCTGGCTGTAATAGAGAAAAGGGCGTACATACACACATACTTATAATTTTATTAATTATACCTCAGCCTTCATTAGTTCATCACCGAAATCAACTTCCATTTTAACATCAGCATCATTGTCAAGAAATTCTGTTAATGCATGCGGTGCCATTGTTTCATCTTTTATTAACCCGACAACAATGTGCTCCTTGTAATCCAAATCCACAAGCGGATCAATGCAAGGCTCTTCGTAGTTAGTGTTGTGCAAACTCTGTATATGACTAACGAAGGCATCCCATTCTTCGATATCTGTTTCACAGTATAAACATTTCAATGCAAAATTAAGCACATCTTTTGAAACCAAAACATTTCCGCAAATATCCATTTTTTCTCAACAAAAATGTTCACGGAACAATTGTGTGATCACGGAATTCGACGATTGTATATTTTTTCAATTTGCTATTCGCAATGATGCAAGTAAGACACTTGTGAATGGCCATTTTAAAAGAAGAAGTGTATAAACAGAAATTTTAGGTATGTTCGATAAACACACTCAAGAATGATAGGTTCATTCCTTATCTTTTGGACTAAAATCTGAAAAGTGTCAAAATGCCAGAGCGTAAGCAACACCCTGCAAAAATCGCGACTACTCCATGCATGCATGTAAAGAGTACTCCCGAAGGACCACGGAGTACTCCAAAATTAACCACAATTCATATAAAAAATATGGTCCAATTAACATTGCGATGTCCTAGGGCAGGACCATGTACTCCATCTCTGCATTACATCAGAGTAGCACAAAACTACTCCCAACATACTCCAATGACATTATCGTTATATTTTTCGTTTGTACACGCTTTTGTTCTTCACTTCGCAGATGCTTTTTTTGAAATTAATAAAAACCAGAAACAAAAATTAAAAATTACTTGTTGCCTCTGACGACATTCGAACCCGAACATGCTGGGAGATAAGAACTAACAGCTAGCATCTCTACACGTTCAGCTACAGCCAGACATGCAAATGTACTTTCAAATGCTTAACTTCAATCACATGTCGTTAAAACACGAGCAGTGATCGGGT